CTTCAGGGTGGGCTGACAGACTTGAGAGATCTGGGAAGAGCCAATTCTGCAGCTCAAGTCAGAAGACCTCCTGCTGCAGAATTCTTTCTAACCTAGAAGAGATCAGTCTTTTGTTCTGTGTGGGAACTTCAGCTGATTGGGTGAGGCCCATCCACATTATGGAGGGCAATCTGCTTTACTCAAATTTCACAGATTTAATCTCGTCAGAAAATAGCACCCTCACAGAAACATCCAGAATAATGTATGACCACATATCTGGGTGCTGTGGCCTAGTCAAGTTGAAAACATAAAATTAACTATCATGGTCACTAGGAGATTTGGTGGATGAGGTAGCAGGCAAAATCAGTGACTTGTTGAAATGAGACTCTCTGGGGTAACTTTTTTTTTTTTAAGCCATGTCTTTTTAAATTAAAATATAAATATAGAATATTGAAATTGACATAGAGCGTATTAGTTTTTATTTTGTATTTTTAAAAATATTTCATTTATTTATTCATGAGAGACACAGAGAGAGACAGAGACAGAGACATAGGCAGAGGGAGAAGCAGGCTCCTGTGGGGAACCTGATGCAGGCCTCAATCCCAGGACCCCGGGATCATGACCTGAGCCAAAGGCATATACTGAGCCATGCAGGTGCCCCAGCATATTAGTTTTTAAAGAACACATTAGTTTCAGGTGTGCAACATGATTAAATATTTGCATGTATTATAAAATGCTGACCAAAATAAGTCTAGTTAACATCTAACACTACACATAATTTTTTTTCTTTTTTTAAAGATTTTATTTATTTATTTGAGAGAGAGATCATGAGCAGGGGGGAAGGGCAGAAGGAGAAGCAGACTCCCCACTGAGCAGGAAGCCCAACATGGAGCTCCATCCCAGGACCATGGGATCATGACTTGACCTGAAGGCAGATGCCTAACTGACTGAGCCACCCACGTGCCCTACAAGCTTTTTCTTACAATGAGAACTTTTAGGATCTCATAACAACTTTCAAATATACAACACATTATTATTAACTATAGTCACCATGCTGTACATTATATCCCCAGGACTTATTTATTTTTATAACTGGTATTTTATATATCTTCTGGGGTGACTGTCAAGGAAACTCTATTGATTCCTAGGAAAATGTATAGTTCTTGGAGCAGTGGCAAAATCGACGTGTGTGTGTGTGAAACCAGCAGCCTCATACTTCAGTAAGAACCTACCGTGAATCAGTTCTGTGCTCAGTCTTGTTATGGAAAGAAGCTATAACCCTATCCTCTTGGGGTTCCCACCCAGATTAAAAGACCCAGCAAACCTATACACCCATAATGAACAATGTCCCCAGCAATTCAATGAAAGGAGAATTGGCATGAGCTGGGCCTGCAGAGCCTCCTGGAAGGGGTTCAGGTTTATTTGGCCTTCTGTCTTTGTCTTAGGCGACGTCAGCTGTGAAAGGAGTGGTGGGAAGGACTTTATTGGCAGCAGCTGCAGGTCAGTGGCTCCAGCTGTGGGCCCTCATGGGCCTCATATCAGGGTGCCCTGCTGGTCATTAAAAGGCAGAGTAGAAATAGATTCCAAGGAGAAGGAGACAAATAGAGGTCTTTCTTTGGTGTTTAAGGCTGGAAGAGCCTTTCTCTGCTTCCTACTGCACACTAGAGAAAGGCAGGTTCTCTGTTTTGGGTCTTGTGATCCATGAGCAGTTTGATTCTGGGCTGAAATTGAATGCCAAGATAAGTGGAACAAAGGTAAATTAGGAATGTTGGGAAGGCAACTAGCATAGGGAGAATGCCAGCAACATGGGGGGAAGCTTCTAGGGGGCAATTTACAGGTTTCAATGCAATGGGATGGCAGACAAGAGGAATAAAGGTCTATTTGAGTATAGAACAATGAAAAAATATAATGAGATTAAGCATTTAATGATCAAGGGCAGGCATTTATTCAGAGTTTTGTATTATCATCAATGCATTTCTGTATGTAAAGGACTTAGAAGTATGCTAAGGAGAACCTGCCACCACCACTACAACTGGTCTCAAAACATTTTAGTCTATGTGCTGCCGAAGCGAGCACAACTGGTCTCAAAACAAGCAAACACAAGAGCATGCCTTCTGATTGTTCATTACACCTTCTGTTTCTGTCACCTTCTAACTTCTCAGTAGCTCTTTATTCGAGGTTTTAACACTCAGATCCCATCTTCTTTCATACCCCATTTCTGTCCTCATACTTGGAACTTCAACATAACGGTGTAATCTGGATTCCCTCGTGTGGCATCTCCTCACTCTATGTGAGCACTCTTGCTAATCTTATCTTCTCCCAGACTTCACTTACTATTGAAGGGCCGATTGCTTCCATATTTGCAGCCCACACATCTCTTGTGAGTTTCAGACCCCTATATCCAACTGGATAGCCGTACCTGGATATTTCATGGGACACAAATCTAACTACTCAAAATCTGAACTCCTTGTCATTCCCACAAACCTGATTCTTCTGTTCTCAAAATGCTGCTATATGGAACCAGGGCCTATCCAGTCACCCAAGCCAGAATTTCAGGGGTCATCACAGTTTTTTTCTGCACCTCTTAGAAGCCATAGCCCATCAGTCACCACCTCCATGAGCTGCACCTGTTGTCCATGAGTCCAGAGCTTTACTCTCTGATTCCAGAGAGTAAAACTGGTTAAGAGGGCTCTAGAGTAAGCATGCCTGGGTTCAAATAATAGCTTTCAACTGATACTACATAATTGTTGGGGGGTTATTTAAGCTGTTTCTTGGTTTCCTCATCTGTAAAATGAGTATATTGCTTCATAAAATTGTTAGAATTAACTGTTATGTAAAATACCTGGAATACATAGTAAGTACTCAATAACCTTTGGTGATGCTGATGATATCAATAATGATGATGCCCGAGCAATGCTGGTAGGGGCAACCACCCAGCTGCAATAATTGAGGAACAAGAGTTGGAGGATAGCATTCTGCTTCTTTTATTATTATTATTATTTATGATAGTCACACACAGAGAGAGAGAGAGGCAGAGACACAGGCAGAGGGAGAAGCAGGCTCCATGCACCGGGAGCCCGACGTGGGATTCGATCCGGGGTCTCCAGGATCATGCCCTGGGCCAAAGGCAGGCGCCAAACTGCTGCGCCACCCAGGGATCCCAGCATCTGCTTCTTAACTGGATTTTCAGCCGATCCTTTATTCAGTTTCACATCTCTGCCTTTAAAGGAACTCTATGCCTCCAATTCTTAAGACCTCCTAGGTTCTGAGGGGCAAATTAGTTTGTCTTTTCTGGGCTTTCCCTCAGTAGGTAACTTCACTTTTTATGCTCTACACCTGCACTGCCCAGTATGGTAGCCACTAGTCACATGTGGCTATTGAGCCATTGAAATGTGACTGATGAGTGCTATACATGTTGAAATAATATTTTGGATATACTAGGTTAAATAAGATGTATTAAATGAATGTCACTCGTTTTTCACTTTTCATGTGGCGAGTGGGAAATTTCAAATTACATATGTGACTGTCATTGTATTTTTATTGGATAATGTTGCATCTTACTGTTGACCTTTCTTGTCTGCTGTTATTTTCACTCCTTCTCCTTAGTCTTCTAGTGGATACCCTTTTTTCATTTTTTTGTGAGGTGTCTGGAAAAGGAAAGATAAATGGGTGTGTTTCATCTGCCATGTTGAACTGTAAGTTATACCCAGGCTTCTCGCACTCACGCTCCTGCTTGTATTTGTAGTCTTACCACTTTCTACCCTGTCACCAACCCTACGACCCAGCCAAAATGAATCACTTGTAATCTTTGAAAGACACACGGGCTTTCATGCCTTTGCTTTCTTTGCATCCTTTGAATAACTCCTCCCACCTGTCTAGTGACTTATCCTTCAAAACCTCAAATTTCACCTACTTTGAGGAGCTTTTTCTTGACCTACCTCTCCTTCCAGTTGAGCTGACTGCTCCAGAGTTCAGAATATTTCCTGCATTTTCTTTATTATTTTTATATTTTTTAAAAGATTTTATTTATTTATTCATGAGAGACCCAGAGAGAGAGAGAGAGAGAGCCAGAGACACAGGCAGAGGGAGAAGCAGGCTCCACGCAGGGAGCCCCATGTGGGACTCGACCCAGGAACCCCAGGATCACAACCTGGGCCAAAGGCAGGCGCTAAACGTCTGGGCCGCCCGGGCTGCCCCGCGTTCTCTTGTTTAGATACCTCCCTGCCCCGTAGGAGGCTCCCTCTTCTTCATCAAACCCTGTCGTGCCATTTCTGGATCTGATGCATCGAAGGAACTAAACGTTTATTATTCAATGTCCATAAAATAAAGACCGGAAGGACGGGCTGTGGGAACACGGAGGAAGGCGAGGGCTGTCTGGACAAGTTACGTGGAGGTTAGCATTTTTCATTTCTTCCAAGTTTCCCGCCAGGGGAGGCGGCATTGGGAGTTCCCGGCGGAGGGAACAGGACGAGCCAAGCTTCCCTGGAGGCGAGGACTACGCCAGCGCAAGGGCAAATGCTCCGTCTGCACGCGGCACTGCGAAGACGTCACTCAGGGCCCCGAGGTCCTAGAAAGAAGTGTGAGGGCTGGGCTGGGGGAGGAAAGGAGGTGTCTGCGAAAGGCTTCGGGCCCGCGGCGCGAGATCACGGCACGCGCGTTTTTGGCCGAGGGGCCTGGCTGCGGGCGGCGGGCGGGCGGCAGGGGAGCGCCCGCGTGGTCTGGGGGCGCGGCGGGCAGCGCCGCCAGCGGGTGGGGGAAGCGGGGGCACCACCTCCAGCAGCTCGGCGCGGGGAGCGAGGAGCTTCCAGGCCGCCCAGACCCCAGGGCGCGCGCAGCGGGGCGGGGGCGGGGGCGGGGGCGGGGGCGAACGGAGGCCGCGGCCGCGGTCGCGGTGCGGGGGGCCTCACGCGCTTGTCCCTCGCGCGTCGCCGTCCGCGCAGCCCGCGGTTCGGCCGCCGGCGCAGTGGTTCCGGTTCCGGTTCCGGTTCCGGCGGGCGTCGGCACCTGGGGCGAGGGCGGCGGCCATGGCGTACTCCACCGTGCGGAGGGTGGCCCTGGCCTCGGGGCTCGTGCTGGCCGTGTCGCTGCTGCTGCCCAAGGCCTTCCTGTCTCGCGGAAAGCGGCAGGAGCCGCCACCTGCGCCGGAAGGTAGGCGGCGGCTAGCTAGCTCCCCGTCAGCGTACGGAGAACGCTGCTGCTCCAGGGCGGGGGGCACTCGACGTCTCCTCCATACGGCGGGGGGGGGGCGCCGAGCCCTGCGGCTCCCCTGGAGTCTGGGAGAGCCGCGGCGACTCTAGACCCCCTTCGGCAGGAAGGGCCGCGATGCCGGCGCGCGCGTGCGTGGTGCCCGGGCGCCCTCCGGGTGGCCCCCCACGCCTGCCTCGTGCGCAGCCCTTCCCCTCCCCGGCTTCACTCCGCTGCCCCCTCTGTTCAGGCGCTTTGGGCCGGGTCCGGAGGGCTCCCACTTGGATTCCCCTCTCCGCGGTTCCCCGATGCCTCGTGTCGTGCTTTTTTTTTTTTTTTTTTTGTATGAAGCGAAGTCCATTGGCCTTGGTATTGGTTAACCTTGAGTCATTGTGTACATCCAGCGCCCCCACTTCAGGCTTTTTTTTTTTTTTAATGCCTTTTAAAATAGAATTTGAAGATTTTTTAACTCCAGTTTCAGTTACGGAGATGAACAGACTGCTACGTTTCCTTCCCGCATGTACTTAAGTGTTTGCCAGTCCTTTGTTATTTGGTGTGGTTGTGTGCGTGGTGTTTACAATCCACCCTGTTGGCGCGGTCAGGGGCTTTTACATAAGGAGTCCAAAGGGATGGATGTCCAGGCCGAAAGAAGGAACTAGAGCAATTCCGTGTAGCTCCTGAAGTTCCACGGGTAACTTCCGCCTGTAAATTGTCTCTGATAATGACCCTTGCGGACGGTTTTACGGTCCCCAAGCGCTTCCTCTAATGTTCAGCACGTTGATGATTGGACAGCTCCTGTCGAGCTGGAATCCACCTCCCCGTGATTCGCGCGCTCCGACTCTAGTTCCCCTCTCTTGCGCGTCATGGATAGGAGCCCTGTAGATGCAAGGCACCAAGCTCTAGGGATGGAGGGCAGATTGAACCCAGAATTCTCTTGATCAAAACTTTATGCTTGGAAAACTACCTGGAAGAGACTTCTAAAAAATGTGGGGTTTTTATTTTCTTTCTTATTACAAAATGCCAAGGTTTTACTCGTTTTGACTATTTGGTATCGCCTTGTCTGCCTTGAAGATTAATTCATGATGACCTTAACAGTAAAGATTTTTTTAAAACAGTATTTTACTGAATTGAATTCCATTATGCTGACTTATCTTTTTTTTTTTTTTTTTAAGATTTTATTCACGAGAGACAAAGAGAGAAAGAGAGAAAGGCAGAGACACAGGCAGAGGGAGAAGCAGGCTCCATGCAGGGAGCCCGATGTGGGACTCGATCCTGGGACTCCAGGATGATGTCCTGGGCTGAAGGCAGGCGCTAACCCGCTGAGCCACCCAGGGATCCCCTGTGCTGAATTATCTAAGCTTTATTGAATGTGCATGGGAGATACTCTTCTGAATGTTGTATGGAGATTAAATGTGGCTTTTTCCCTTGAGAACTCAAGAGTTGATATTCAGTGTTCTCATCTTAGCATCTTTGCACTTTCTGTCCTTGTTCTTGTTCTTCCCTCAGCTTCCTTCTGGTTACTCAAGTTTCTGATCAGCTGTAACCTCAGAGAGATTGTCCCTACAGACCCTAGCTAACTTCACCCTCCTCCTTCCCCATTCCTTCATGTTGTGTTTCCTTTCTTGAAGAAATTACTATATGATATGAAATGTTCTTATTTTTTTCTCTTTCTACCTTTGAGAATAGAAGTTTCATGAGGGCAGGGACTTGGTCTAGTTTTCCACTGTTTCTTGAGCATCTGTCTAAAATGGCAGTCGACAGATATTTTTAAATGAATAATTTAAGCTTATGAAGCTATTAATATTGGGAATTCTCTTTTTGCATTAGTTACCAAAGGAATATAATCTAGGCAAAAACTTCTCTTGTATGGTTTATTTCAGTAACTGAAATTTTGCTAACTAAACTCTTCATCCTTGGATGAACCTAGAAGGTATTATGCTAAGTGAAATAAGTCCGACAGAGAAAGACAAATACTATGTGATCTCATTTATGTGTGGCATCTAAAAAATAAATGAGCAAACAAAAACAGACTCATAAATATAGAGAACTGATGGTTACCAAATGGGAGATGTGGTGGGGGAATGGGCAAAATGGCTGAAGAGGAGTGGGAGATACAGGCTTCCAGTTATGAAATTAATAAGTCACAGGGATGAAAGCACAACATAGGGAGTATATGGTGTTGTCATAACGTTATATGGTGATAGATGGTAGCTGTACTTACTGTGAGCATAATAATGTATAGAGTTGTAGAATTACTATGTTATATATTTAAATCTAAGGTAACATTGTATGCCAAGTATCTTCAATAAAAACAAATTACTTGGGGATCCCTGGGTGGCTCAGCGGTTTAGCGCCTGTCTTTGACCTGGGGCACGGTCCTGGAGTCTGGGTATCGGGTCCCACATCGGGCTCCCCACATAGAGCCTGCTTCTCCCTCCTCCTGTGTCTCTGCGCCTCTCTCTCTCTATCATAAATAGATAAATAAATAAATCTTTTAAAAAAAACAAATTACTTAAAATCCCTGGGCTGGTATGCTGACATTTTAAAAGTAGTGATTCCTAGCCATTTTGGGGTTATTTACCCCTTTGAGAATCTGATGAAAGTTATGGAGTTTCTCCCTAGAAAAATTCACATACCATTTATGCTGACATTCAGAATTTGAGTATCCATTCAAAGAATTCACATAACCCGAAACCCTTGTTTTGGAGAAAGAGACAGCCTCAGTTACTTGAAAATTCTTGAAATCTGTCATTGTAACTTTCATTTCTGCCCATTGGAATATGTGAAACAACTACAGTCCCTTTTCCACATGACTGTTGTTAAGACATTCTTTTAGTAAATACTTATGATGTATTTACATAGTATATACACAGTATACAGATAACCAAGGATTCTAAGAAAAATGAACCAAATCTTGCCTGAGATTCATAGTTTAGTAGAGGAAGACACAGTAAGTGTGTGTCAGTTGCATGTACTCAAAGTCCTTGCAGGGAACAATGGGGACTCATGGTTAGAACAGTCAGTTTTATTGGGGACAAGAAAAGTGTCCTAGAACAGGAGAGTCTTTTTTTCCCTCCCTAACAACTTTCTTGAGATATAATTCACATACAGTTCACCTGCTTAAAGTGTACAGTTCAGTGGAGTCTGTTATATTCAGATTTGTGCAACCATCACCACAGTCAATGTTAGAACATTTCCCTCATGAAATCCCGATATTCTTTAGCTACCACCCTCCAACCTGCCCCACCCCCTTCAGCCCTAGGTAACCACTAGTCTACTTTCTGTCAATATAAGTTTTTCTGTCCCAGAAATTTCATATAAATGGAATCATAGGACATGTGATCTTTTGTGACTAGCTTCTCTTGCTCTGTATGTTTTCAAGACTCATCCATGTTGTAGCATGTATTAGTACTTCATTACTTTTTTTTAAAGATTTATTTTAGAGCGAGAGAGAGTGAGAGGGAGGAGCAGAGAAGGAGAAAGAAACCCAGGCCAACTCCATGCTGAGTGCAGAGCCTGGTACGGTGCTCCACCCAGGGCTCAGTCTCATGACACTGAGATAATGACCTAAGCCAAGACCAAGAATTGGATACCTAACCAGCCACGCCACCCAGGCATCCCAGTACTTCATTACTTTTTTATAGCTGAATAATATTCCATTGTGTGGATATACCATACTTTATTCATTCATCTGTTGATGGACATTTGGATTGTTTATATTTTTTATTATGCATAATGCTATTACCATTTGAATACAAACTTATGTAGACATGTTTTCATTTTTCTCGGGTATATACATTTCAGAAATATGAGTATTTTAGTGGCTGGAATGAAGAGTGAAATTTCTAGGTCATGTGATTACTCTATATTTAACCTTTTGAGGAACTGCTAGACTGTTTTTCAAAGTGGCTGCACCATTTAACATTCCTACCAGCAGTGTATAAGCATTCCAGTTGCTCTACATCTTGCCAACACTTATTGCCTGCCTTTTTGATCATAGCTATCTGAGTGGGTATGAAGTGACACCTCATTGTGGTTTTATTTGTATTTCCCTGATGACTACTGTCCTTGGCTGCTTCTTGTGTGTGTATTGGCTATTTGTATATCACTTTTGGAGAAGTGTCTTCAGATCTTGTGCCCATTTTTAAATTGGGTTACTTTTTATTGTTGAGTTTATTGTTTATTAAGAGTTCTCCAGATAAGTCTCTATTTCAGGTACATAATTTGCAAATATTTTCTCGCATTTAGTGGGTTGTCTTCGTTTTCATGCTGGTGTCCTTTAAGAAAAATTTTTCATTGTGATGAGAGAGGAGACCAGAGATGTTGGCAGGGGCCAAACTGTGAGGAACTGTTTTTCCCTCTCATACTTAAGGAGGTTGTAACTCTGGGAAATGAACAAGGGGTAGTGGAAGGGGAGGTGGACCCAGTCCATGGGTGACTGGGTAATGGGCACTGAGGGGGGCACTTGGCAGGATGAGCACTGGGTGTTAGGCTCTATGTTGGAAAATTCCACTCCAATAAAAAAAAAATTTAAAAAAATACTTGAGGTTGGATTTTATTCTAAGGGTAGAAGAGGCCATTGTAAGTTGGTAAGTAGAAGAGAACCATCCAGTGTGGTTTTAGAAAAGACACCCTGGCAGCAGTATAGGAGATGCATTGTGAGGATTTCTTTACGGTGAAGATAGTTACAGTACTCCAGTTGGGACCACAGGAGCATCATTAAGTCAGTGTTGTTGAGCTCATCAGTTAGGATCTTCATGACAAATGGCAGAAGATTTAATCTCAATGGCATTATGACAAAAAAGGGATGCATTGCTTTGTATAAATGAAAAGACCCTGTGTTAGAACTGGCCTTCAGTGTTGTTTAATCCAGAGATTCCCAATCTCATCTGGGCTCCAGCTCTGATTTTCTGTGTTCATTTAACTTCCTAGTTCCAGGCAACCCTGGTGGCTCAGAGGTTTAG